AACTACCCGCTGCCTAAAAGATTGAGGGTTTAACCGGTTTGGGTTCGATACGATCTCTTTGTTAGTGCGACAGCTTCTCACCCCTACGCGAACTTCACGAGACACGAACTTCAGTTATTTGTTTATTCATATTCTTGATTATTTATTTTTTTACTACAGTTGAGTATAGCAAATCATGCCGAAGGAAACTAATATCCAGTAGAGCAGTATTTGTATTTATTTTGTATGCAGAACTATGCTCTGGTGCTACCGTCAGATTGCCGTCGACTATGTGAGTCAGAGAATTTTCCTTTTTCTTTCTGTAAATTCTGTCTCTTTTGTTGACAGGGCAAGTTCGAGCGAAGTATGTTGCATGTGGGCGCAAGAATGTCTACCCGACTACTTCGGAATTGCTCAAAACGAGTTTTCTTGTTTCACTGTACCGTCAATTTGCCCAGATATTAACATAACTCTGATCGTCTTTATAAACCACGTTAGAAATGCCCAAGCTGGTTGCACCCAGAAAAATATATTCCAAAGCAGCAAGTGGTTTCCTCAGGTTCTTCTTCTGGTAGACATTCTTGAACTGTTATGCAACAAACTTCACTCTTTACATTACGAATTTTCACAGCTTCCGGGTTTTCTCAGTTTTTTTCGCATTCATCTTCATGCGAACGATTATCTGGGGCTATGAAAAGATAAACGATAAAGTCATTGGCAATAATCAATCAGCTTCTTGTAATCCGTCAGCATTGTCCTCAATTCAGACTCGTAGTGGCGTTTTGAATGTGTATGTGGCCTATACAATGACTTACGTTGGCTAGTCAATGTACCAGTCAACGCGTTAAACCTCCCAGGCAAACCCGCTTCCAATGAACCGTCTCCGAAGGCTTGATAGACTCAATTGGTCTAGGCAGGCACGGATCTGGGACCTTAGTGACGGATCGTGCGGTGCGATAGTACGCCTTTCACCACTACACTACACTGCGGTTGGTTGGGAGATGTTCTCACAATCAGACCATCTAAGCAGCGGTGAGCATTTTACCTACCTTGTTTTAATAAATAGCGAAGTTATTAATAGATTCTTTGAACTGTGTTCCGCACTTGACGACCAAAGGGTGTAGACAGTTTTGTGAAGGACGGCGTAAAAAACCTGAAAACCGGAAATCGGAAAACAAGCTCCAGTTGTGGCAAGCAGCTGCTGTAAGCATTGAAAATACAACGGGAAAAACGATTAGGGATGCTGAAAAGTGTGATGGATACAATCATCAGCTCGTTAATCATATTCCATATCATGAGATCCCCGTTTTATCCCATCCTCACCCGATCGTTGTCTTAAATCAAGCATGAGGCGCGAAGATCGCCTTTCTCCTGCGATCTTCCTGAACTTCTCCCAAGTGCGTCCTTTCATGTTATGTTCCTTCTGAAGCGGTGTCGACAATGGGAGATGAGGGAAAGCATTCATCGAATAAAAGTCCATAACGATCCCCATTTGGCTCTTGATCATGTTGGAGTTATTTTCAAAAGTTTCCTTTTTATATCGTGTTTTTGGTTTCAATCGTTGTGCTGACCGGTTGTCATTTATCGTGATAAGTACATAAACGCTTCAGTCAGCCCAACCGGGAAAAGATCTCACATTTCGTCCCAATGAAAACACTTCACTTCCGAGCACTTACGACGATGCATCACAGATCGTCTAAAAACCCGTTCCTGACGATCGATCCATCCGTCATATATCGTGGTTTTTGCCGATTCTCTTGCGTATTGATGCCGTCATCGACGTTGCACAGTTGCTTTGCTGATCCTCACGTTTTCCTCTCTTATTCATTCTTTGAATTCATTCATTTGCAGCGCTATTCAAATGCATTGTTCTTCTGCACAAACGAAAATCGAAAATTCAAAAATTACTTGCATATTACCTTTTTGTGTATTATTATATCTGTTTATTATTGCTCATTTTTTGGTGAGTGTCCTTTTGTATGCTTGCTTCACTGTAATTTTCTGTCGTGCAAAACTGCTTGTCTATTTTGTGCAGCTTCAACAACCTCCACCTTCCCATCGATGCCGCGATCCATTTTGCGCACCATTAATTGATACCCATCTTTGGCATGTGGGACTAGATAGGCTTAGTGGAACCACCCTTACTGGCAATTGTCAAACGAACTAATTAATGCGGCGAATCTTGGCAGTTCTACTCGCTTATCCTTCCAATCCCGATTCCTTTCTGAGGCTCAGTTCTTAGCGCTCTAGCTTTTCTCTCGTATTCCGCGAAAAATCTCCCATTTGGGGATCATTAATTCATAAAGCAAAATGCTGCATTTGTGGAACATTGGTGTCTAAGAATGCGGAAATGAGCTCACAGCTATACGCCCTACATCTTGCAATTTTCAATGATGGATTGGTTAGCAGCGCGTAGACATTACTGTTTAAAACTTCTAAAAACGTCTATTCTTTGTCTACCTGTAATGTATCAAGTCGTGACGGAATCGGAAATGACTCATCGAGTACTATTTAGGATGAATGACACACCCTTTCGTCGACGGCATGGCAACAAAGTACACGAGAAATGCCGAGATTGCTCCTTAGGGACAAAGAAGACGTGAAGTTTAGGCTCCCACATCTCATCGCGTTCTTTCCATGAAAACTCCTCAAAAAGAGGGCATTTATTTTAAGCTACACCAAGGGAATAGCATCTCACAAGAAAAGTTGCAACCGAATGAGTACAGAAAGGAAAAATTTTTTGGCATTAACCAATCCCATTTATGGGATGGGCCTCAAACTTCCCGTCTCGAACCGCGGAACTACGTGTGTGTTTGTGTCCCACTTGGCACTAGACCACAAATAGGTTCATTGGAGCAGAAAGCATGTGGGAAACAAGAACTGCGTTTATAAAAGGCATTTGAATGAAAGGTGGTAGATTACCTTTTTCACCAGTCGAACCCCGTGCATTTGGTGTTTGTGGGCGGAGTTTGGTGTGATGGGAGTGGCTTTTGGGACAAACGCTCTACAAGAAGTGCCTCATTATGACCCTGACGCTAATATATTGTGGTCTTGTAGAGGTGCCAATGCTAATTTTTAGATCTCATTCATATCCGTAACTTAGCTCACCTCACTAGCGTTCAGGCTTCAATATTGTTATTGACTTTACGCGTACGCGTCTTTTCCATATCATTTTTGCCGTGGTGATTTGGCAAGACGCTTCCTAAAAGGTATTGCAGCCTAAGCCATTGATAACAATACGTTCAAATAGAATGATATAATCCTTTGGAAGAAGTCCTATGGTGAACAAGCGTGTTCTTTTCTGTTCTCTTTTATCCTTTTAGAAACTTATCAGCCATTTTTCGACCCGAATATTTCCCGTTATCATTTTTCTTGCTCATTTAACCGAGATTTCTTTCGTTTCTTCCATAAAGCAAGGTGATATCGTAGTAGTTATGCTTTTATTGCCAGTACGATATGTGAAGCTATCTGCAATTGCGGCATAAGTGGCGGCAAGTGTGAATAGACGATCGATATGCGTGTCACAAAGGAGAACCACGCTGACCAGCCGAACGGATGGCCGGCAGGGCGGTCGCCCACCCACTTCTCATGCCCCGCACTGCACTCCGCCGTTTCTTGCACTAATCGTTCCACATCAAATCGTTCTTCATCTCCCTTTCGGCCTTTAAAATTCGGCAAATCGCTGAAATTTTCAATCGACCTCTCTCCATTATCGCATCAATTGCTCATTTCTTAAGTAAGATCGACATTTGTTTAAGATCTCAGATGATACCTTATTTCACATTCCACTTTTACGTTTTTTTCGTCGTTCTTCCTTCTAAAATGCTAGGAACGTGGGCACGATTAAATCAGTTTGGCAATTTGTTCTATTTTTCAGTCGTTTCGTTTTCATTTTAATTGTGAGTTCGCTTTCACTCCTATACTGGTTTTCCTTGGGGTAGTGAAGTAGAATTGTCATCAATCGCAGTGGAAAACTGGAATCATTGATAGGTCTCAGTCTATTAACTGGATTTGTTGCATCCCAAAAAGGAAATGGAAGGACTGCCAACATTCTTGTTCTGAAGCCAAACTTACGTCGAACTTTTTTGCAAAGCAGTCGTGCTCAATGTCCCGTTTTACGTCTGGAAATTAGTCGGAGAATTTATGAGTTTTCTAACATTTCCATGGGCAATTGGTCGCTGATGCAGCAGATTTTTTTTATGAAAAGGATTAGAGTAAACATAGTGATATGGAATCTTTCTGAAAAATCGCCTTCTTTGTGAGCATTCATGAGTGTCAATCAACATGAATTCGTCAGCTCTACTACTGTCTTCTCTAGTATTTTGTGTCAATATGGTCCATAGCTTCCGAGCCATGATCTAAAAACACCTTATCCAGCCCCATCCCCTCGCTTTATTTTTACCCACCCAAGTTCTATTCCCAATGCCTTCTTTCGAAGCAAGAGGTAATCTAAATCATTTTGGTTGACTGATGGGATTCGTATGAGTTGTAAGGAGTTCTTCCATCTGTTCTACCATGAAAATCCTTTTTATGTCTCCTTTTCTTCTTGGCATAGTTAAGTCTTTACATTTTATCGTCATTTTTGTTTCTCTTTTTTTACCCACATCTCATTCACAGCCCATACTTGAGGTTCCAATACAGTTTCAAATTTCATCCCAAAATTGATCTGTGAAATTTTAATCTAACGAGACTGTTTTATTCGTTTCTTGAATACATTCAATGCACGCTTTATTTTATGGCTCCTCTATTTTGGCGTCCCATGTCGAAGCCAATTTTTCACTTTAAAACGATAGGCCTTTGGTTTGGAAGAGCTCTGATGACTGGTCATTTATGTACTCGATCGCGTTGTTGAGGCTCTTATCCTTCGCGTGTCCTTTTCCGACTCAATTCACGGATGATTTAACTTAAGAATTACCTATTACAGTGATAAAAAGGCACTGGAGACAACTTCACTTATCAGTCGTGTCAGTAACGTCAACGAACTCTGAGCATCTTGCCAGAGTTCAGCTTGTGTACCACCAATGACAGTGGTAGCCAGTTATGGCATGGTGCTCTGCGGAAATTCGTCAGACGATTTGAATCAGCGTTATCGAGGGCGGATCGAAAAGTAGAGATATTTTGATCCGTAATTCGTTGATATTCGATTGAAGCTCATTTAAAAAATCTCGCTTTTTTAGGGTTAAATTTGGTGTTCCAATTAACGAAGCATTTGCCCATGACATACCGGCAACGTTATTGGTGCGTTCAGTGAATATTAATCTTTTATCACTGAGTTTTCACTAATTTTTACAATTAGGTACTGTTGCTGAAAGTCAATAAGGAAGGTCCTCAGAAGAAGGACATATGGCGTGCACCCGGAAACCAAGCTCAGGTAATCTTTCATCTTTGTTGTCTATCTCTTCATTGCCCTTCATTCAAAATTGAAAAGTTTCTTTGGGTTAAAAGTCGCTCTGATGGGGGTTATTTTAGGATTCCTCAAAATCTTCAGAGGAATCTCATTAGAGTAGAAGCGAACAATTAACCAACGCTATCTTTTTTTCTTCATTTCCCTAAAATAACATTATTTCTGCGCTCATGTGATGAGGAATTGTTTATCAGAGCTATCGAAATTGATAGCTTTTATTTCTCAATAGGGGTACAAAGTGTGGAAATAGTTCGGCAATAGAGGGTTATATTCTAGGACCATTATTCCTTGTTGAAAAAAAACTCACGATTAGTGGACCAATCTTGGCAGTAGTAGTCATGCACTCAAAAAGTGGTGTATAGGACTGCAAGTGAATCCTCGACTTAGTGGATTAGGAGTAGAACGTAACGGCGTTAAAAATGTCAAGGCTAGGCTACTGATCCTGGTTGTGTAATTGTGAAAAGCTCTCTATTCATTTCTGTTACCGTACAGCTTTCGGCATTGGGCAATTACGCTTTTTGTCTCATGCGATACTTCCTGTTTCGTCATACTTGGCCATTTGAAACTGCTCGTAATGGACCATGGTTTCCATTATAGTGTACAATTGTGCAGATTTATACATTCTCATATCTTTGCTTATATTTAGAATCCTCAAACGTCAAAAGTCTTTGGACACTTTGCTAGGTGGATTCATAAGTTTTTGTGTTACCGCCGGGAAAAAACGTGCTGATGTTTCCCAGCATTTAGTGGTTACCATGACCCCTTCTTTACAAACCTCTAATTGCGAAATCTCAGTAGAAGATGAAAAGTGAAAGCAATTATTCGGTCGTGACCAAAAAGTAGAATGGATCGCGCGAGAACGAGTGATCCACTGATTTGATTACTGCATATTTAAGGTTCGAAAACTGTCACACATCATGCAGCATGGTCGCTTAGTGAATATAGCAAATTTTAGTGTATACACTGCAGCGTCAGTAATAAAGGTATGGTCCATTACTCGTACATGGTACTTTGTAACATTTTTTTAAATTTTTTTTTCTAATTTCAGAAGTTTTTATCAAAGCTACCTGGTGGTATTTTTGGTGTAGAAAATGAGCAAATTCTGTTCAATAGCGCCTTGCAGAACACTGACTTGGATAAGCAACGTCAGGTGTTTTACAGGTCTGTTACAATTTTGTGAAGATTTTTTTTTNTTTTTTTTTCTTTTTACAACTCTCTGTTCGCTCTCTAGACCTTTCTCTCACGTTTTTGCTTTTGAACAATGAAAAAAGTATGGGGTATGTAATCGATCTTCTCAGGTGTCATTGCTACTTTCATTCACGCTATTCCTGATGGATATAATTTTAGTATTTGCAAATATGCTCATATTGTTTAGCAGTTATTTTTAGACCAGTACACGCGAATATGGCTGCTCTAAACACTTCGTTTTATCCGCTTGATATATGCCCCTCCCCTCCTCCCCCTCCCTTTTAGTGTGGAATTCAGGTGCATGAAGCTCGCTTTGCAATTTGTAGAAGTCCTGTGCAAATAGGGCATAGGGTCCTGACAGTTTTTGACTTTTTCTCAACATTTTGGATTCTTCGTTCCACAACCAGCCTGTTATCACGTTTATTGCTCTTTTCAACACAAACAACAGATTGTTTGCTGAGTAAATCTTCTCCATAGCTTTACACCTTTCTAGGACTCAGGGTTTTGATGTTGTCTGATGGTTACTAGTTCGTAACTCATATGTTTTGGCGGTTTTTCCTTGACTTCATGGAAGAAAAAGTTTCTCGTTCTTATCCATTCAACCTTGGATCACGACCGATTGGTCGATTCCGTTTCATTACCGTGGCTCAACTTTAGAGGGATTTAAGAATATTTTTCATAACTTTTTGCAAAGGATAAGCAAGGCATAGGAAATGTCTTAAGCCAACCTTTTAAGGAGGTTTTCAAGGCTTCATCATTTTGTGGCTTCGAAAAAAGCCATGCTTGATTATCAATTAAAAGCTAACTAATAAATTCATTAATTGAGAACGTTACTTCCCTTTTGATATATTTCTGTTTCTCATAGAATGTTTTACATAATTTTCTATTTTTAGCTTCTTCAACCAGTAAAAAGTGAAAATTATTTTAGGATCTTCTGTTCTCTCCCTGTGCCTTCGCAACACCTTCTTGTGCTTCTATTTGGCACATTTCGAACAGTTGCTGATTCTTCTGAAACTTATGGTACGAAGATGAATCCTGATGCGATCGCGATATCGGTGGCCCCTTCTCTTTTTCATTCATGTATTCACGATGGGAGACAGGTGTGTAATATCTTGATTTTTGTGTATTTTCTCTACATATCGTATTTTGATGTGATTTCCTCATTCCCCAACCCCCGTAACAGATGCTGAGGGAAATGCTAAGTATCTGGTACTGGTATCAAACCGGTCCATTAAAGCTGATGCTAGAGATTTGAGGTTTTACTGAAGCATTTTATCTTTTTCGCTATTACCGTCTATGGGTGCTTCTCATCATCACTGTTACCCATGGGATTTTGCATCAATTTTGCAAGGGAATCCGCTTAATCTAACAAATTGCGGCAGTTACCAGTTGCATTCAGTGTATCAATGTTGGAGATGCAAACCTCAGGGGTATTTTTCTCACAGAATCGTTTTGAATTCATGACGCACACGGTGTAATGGGCGGATTGCTGCTCACCATTTGGTCATAAAAATTCTCAGAAAAGCGTCGATTCTTCGATTGCATACCTTTTGTTGGGGAAACCATCGAGTCCTTTTAAACCCTGTTCCACAAGAATTCTCGTTCTAGGAGCGGAGATTATTGTGTTGTGATAAATACTGCCACCCACCAGTCATATATGTTTTTTCCAGGTGAAAGTTGAAGATGTACAAAGATTCAAATTGGCATCAGAAGTTGTTAGAAATATAATAACTTCCTTTGGCCATACAAACCTTTTCCCACGCGAATGCTATGAATTCTACGCTCGGATCACAGGCAGAACTTTGCGAGTCGACGAGAATTGGCTTTTCACATTCCAATACCCCTCAAGTGGGTTGTTTTTGTTTTTCTCTTTTTGGAACTGGTTTTTTTCAGGGTTTTATTTGGGTATTAATGGGTTGATAAGGGGCCATCATATAGAAGAAATGCTTCGTTTGTAGATCAGTTGCTTTTTGGTGTTATAGATCTGCTTATAGCGCTGCCATCTCGATTGTTATCGTAGTTTAGGAAAGCATCCGTTCCGCTGTAGTTTTTCCTATTGGTCGCAAATTATTGCTCTTCTATCTTCTCATATATGCTCTGCTCTTTATATTGTCATAAAAATAGAACAAAAAGAGTTAGTCTAAACTAATATTCAGTCCTAAAATCCGCAAATTAATGGACACGTAATGTTAATGGAAGTAGCATTATATTCCAGCTTAAATGGATGTCCGCTTTTTCTGGTCTCATTGTTTGTGCTCCACAGCCTTTTAGCACTAGAAAATCACGTACTCTTGCATTGTAATGAATTTCACTCTCACTCGTATGTTGTCATTCAATTTACGTCATACCGTACCATTTCCCACACTGAGCTTTGCCTCACAAGCTTTGTATTCGGCTTTTATACCCATCAACGGACCTCAGCTTTTCCGCCTGCTGCGGGGCTTACATTGTAGAGCGGTACTGCATGTGCATGTGCGTGTATTTGGCCTTAAGCTCACGGAAACTCTTTAGCGGAATCAATTCATTGAATGGTTGCTTTCATAGTCCGCGAGTGAGCAGCGCGCGAGCCCGCCGGCGGACTACTCGTCCGGCGGTATCGAACAAGATTGCTGTAAACAGGGGCTGTAAGGTAAGCTCTCCTGTTCGGGGCTGGGACGCCCCGATTCGGGTCTCTCTCTCTCTGCTCTCCCCGAGAGCATACCTTACCGGGAAGGGGACCCTCCCCTGCTTGGGGTAGCATACCTTACGGCCCCAGAGGCAAGCGCCGCCCCCGGTCGCTCGCGGGTCGGACGGCGGACTATGAAAGCAGCCAATATTTGGTGGGATTCTTGGCGCGACGTAGAAGTGCTCCAGAAGACCCACACATAAGAAGTGTTTCCGTGGGAATGCATGCGCACAATAGAGCAACTTTTAAGTTGTCTTTTTGCATGCATGTTAACAATTGTGATTGTTTGAGTACTCACATTTTCTTTGTGATTATTTAATGTTCAGCATGAAAATCACCACAATAAGCAAGTGAATAATGTCAGTCACGGGTTACGATTGGGATAGTCGGTCATGTATGGTGCGTTTCAGTCGAAATGATGTCATCATATCGATGATGAATTCAATTCATTCACCTGTCCTCACCCACAAACACACATCTTTCATCACGCAGTTATCTATACATATCAAGATGATTCTGCACATGCTTCGTCGCCCTCACACAGCCTTATTAAGCATGTAAGTTTATGTTGTCCCTAAATCGTACATCGTACAGTACTGAAGCATGTATCAATGTCAAACATGTGTAATATGTTTCTGTGAAAGCTGTGAAAGTTTTCATTATGTTTTTGGTAATTTTATTTTATATAGTTGCTTTTGTGAAACAGCACAATGCTTTAATTTTTATTGAAATAATATTTTTCTAACGATTTTGATGTGGAGTAATAGTTGTTAACAAACAGAAGTAACCATTTAACTTCATGATATATCTTTTGTTTTTTTTTCGAACGTTATATTTTTCTGGGCGTAAAGTTTTGCGGTGTGCTAATGCGATGTTGTATGTGTATGCGTGTGCGTGTACGTGTGTGTATGTGTGTGTGCGTGTGGTGGTTTGGGTTATCCTTGTTCTACTTCATATAGATGGTTTTTGTTTTTGTTCTAACGCGTGCTTGTGTGTGGTTTAGGTGTCGCTTCATCGGCCGCCTTCAGTGCAATGGCTGCGAAATGTGCAGGTGCTTATTCACTAGCTGCACTACATTTGGAAGGGGATTCGTACGAGCCGGTTGTTGTGAGACGTCTTGCTGGTACTGCTGGTGCTACTGCTGCTGTTGTTGCTGCTGGAGCCGGGGATGGAGCGATCCATGGAGTACATCGGACTTGCTCATTGAATCGCCATCCTTTGGCACATACCGCTGATCATCCGAAACGACCCCAAACCGCAAGTCTTGGTTTTGGTGTCAGCGATTTTGTTGACCTAAAACAATCACTTAGCTGTGATTTTTGAGGCCTATAACAAACATGCCCATCTTTACGACAGCAACATTTTCTGATCGTCGTTCTGAGAGCAAACTATTCTCTTCTCAGTTTTGTTTCTATCGATTTCAGTTGGCAGGTACTGACCTGAACAGGTTGTTTATACTCTTGATGGTGTGTTTTTGTTGGGATTGCTTCTTTAAATTACAAATCTTTAATGCATGTGGAATGCCTTTGAACCATTTTGAACTGTGCTGACGATAACGGTGCTCGCCATCGCTGATTTTGCTTAGGATCTTCTCTAGCTTCCTCTCTTTCCTTCCGAATGAAATTAGTAATCTCGAAAAAAAAAACGTCAAAACGTCCTTCTAGTACTACAGGTACTAATTATCGCGTTCCTCTCTATGCAAGAGTGCAGTGATTTATTCAGTGTCTTTCAAATCAACATCTAAATATGGTTGTTCGGTAAATCTGCTCACTACTTCACTGACCAACCATAGTTTACTTTGATAAGTTGAAATTACGCGAGTTACAGGTAGGACATTTCTCCTGAAATTCGTTCAATACCCATCCAATACGTTGATGTTGAATCTGCGGGTGCTCGACCATTCTATTATAGCAACTTGGTTGCTTTCAGCTTTTCGCCAGAGCATTCCTTTATGTTTGAGTTACCCTTAGTGTTTACTGCGACGCTGATTTTTGCTTTGATGGCTTGCGTGTTGCGTGTTTACCTTGATACGGTTACACGCCCACGACATCCACCCACTACTCTTCTCAGAGTATCTCATGCTGCATCTTTATTTGATCTCTATATCGAAGCTTATCGCTAATAAATCTTGTAATCGGCAGCGCTTCGATGCTCATCCGATCACTTTCTCGATCACTGATTTCGAATTAGTTATTGTTTCAGCATTTTGCAAAAGTTTAATTTTCTCAATGAAGCAACTCACATCATGAGTTTCGGGTTTAAAACTTATTCTACTCGTTTCTTTTTTCCTTTTTTGTTTAGAATGATGACATATTCCACCTAAGAAGAACTCAAATAGGTGTTGTGCCTATGTATCTAATTTCTGTCGTAGTGCATCTCTCTCTTTTTCTAGAGCTAGTCCGTCAACAGTTGTAAAGTAGTACCCATTGTTTTGATTTTTTCCCTGTGTTAATCCCAGTTTCTTCATTCCATGAGACCGCTTTGGTTGTTTTCTTATGGCGTCTGTAGATTTGCTGCCATTATGTCCATTCACTTTCTAATAAAATATGCATGAATTGGTTTTTGACTCGTAAACACTTCTCACCCTTACTCAGGTACGAATAAATGCATAACGAATACTTTACAGATGGGGGCTACTAGTCTTCAACTTTGATTTTCTCTTCAAAATGTTTTTCAGGGACCACACAAGGCAGTGGAAGTGAACCGGTGGTTCTGGCTGAGAGTCCCTATGAAGAACCATCAACTCTGGCTGCTTCTATAAGTCATCGCTTAAGTAGCAGTGTTGGAGAGGTTAGTTCCCTTGAATCAGATTAATTACTGGTAGTTCCTAGCAAGGGTAGAGATCGAAAGTTTGGTAATCAGACCTTGTCGACCAAATTAGACGCTTCTCCAAGTTACAAAATAATTATCTATCGATTGCTTCTTAAATACATCATTTTTGCAGGTCCTCCATGAAACAGGTGCCGCAGATCTGGAGTCATGTGAATCAGACCTTTTGCGGCCTATGACATCTTGCGAAGGCGATTCTTCTCGGTCATTCACATATTTAGAGTGGGTTCACGAGAACCAAGCCCGGCGGATGCGGAGCCGTAGCGAATGGTTAGTTCATAAGCCGGCAGCTGTAATAGTCTCGTTATATTTTTCCTCTGCTTTGTTATCTTATTTTCTTTTTAATAATTTGAAAGTTCTCATTTTGCACGATATTTCAGGTTTCTTTCATCAACAACACCGTCCAAGTCAAGTTATGATTTGTTCACACTGAAAGCGATGCCGGGTTCTTTCTCGTTTACAACGGAGGATGAGAAGAACATTGTTGCTACGTCAGACAGCATTCCGTTGCTTTCAAAGAAGTCATTCAAGATAATATCCCACATCGAACGGCTCAATCCGCAGGCAAAAAAGTTGCGGCAGCCTTTTCTCGAGGTTAGTACCAAGTTCTTAGCAACTTGTGGTGGAACCATAAACCTAGTAGTTTTCATTTTTCTCTTTTTTTTTAATGTTCCGAACACTATTATGGCCCATACTCTTTCAAAGCCTTCAATGTCTCTTCCGCCCTCTTTCAAGGGGAAGAGTGTCGTAGTGTTTCATGATTTCTCACCGCATTCTGTATCGCTTGCTTTCGTTGTTAAAGTGATTATCGAGCATCCTTTCCTCTTAATCATACTCTGTTGTCATACCGTATCTTTTTCCATTGAAAAAAAGGCATCTCAGGCTCGACTACTATGGAGCCAATTAGGGCTTTTCTTTGAATTTTTTACCTATTTTTGGAATTGTATCGGTGACCTTACGAACTACAAACAAAATTTCTGATTTTCTTATGAGTCATAGGTTGAACTCGCTGTATCCTATGTTTTATAGCACTTTTTAGAGAACATGCAGCACGTCGAGTCCGAAGAACAATTGCTCGTGTAATGTGTCTTCATCGGGGTTGCCATCTTCTTGTGGTGTAAGACGGAAATCGTGGCGAGTACGCTCTCTTAAGGGCAATTTGCTCGGACTAAAAACGGTATGGTTTGTTACTTAAGGCCTTTTCTCGAATGACAAATCAAGTCGTGCTCATTTGGTCGTATGTTGAAATTACACCATTTTCAGCATTCTCTCGACTCTCAGGAGCCTCCGCTTTTACCTAGCCAGCGAGTTAGTGGTAAAACTATGTACTCACGTTCGTTGGCTCACAGCATTGGCGGGGAAACGTGGCTGATGGAGGTCATTTCTGATGAAATATGGAAGAAGAAAAGAAGTTTCAAGAAAAAACATTAGAATCGTTTCAGTCTTTGACCAAACTTCATATATCACCACGTAATCGAAACTAATATCCATTTTTTGACATCGCATTTCTTTCTTCTCCATATAAAACTCACCTCATTCCAATGCTAGCCCTTTGTGCAGTCAATTAATTTATAATTTCATATTTATATATGTATTATCTTAAGTTCTCCTGTGATTCATTGGCTGCCATTTATATTGAGGTTGTGCATTTTGCCAAGTCTTTCACATCGTTAACCCTAATCATGGGCTGTTGCTGAAAATTTTGTGATGCTGTTCACTTAGTGTTGCTTGCCTACTACATATAGCTTTCTTTAAGAATTTCTTGATCATACTTCACTTGCTTTGCTGACGTCATCAATGTTAGCAGTAAATTGTTATGTGTAGCAGTCCCATTTTCTACCAAATCATGGCTACACCCAAATAAATATTCTAAAAACGTTAACTACTTAATCTTACTGGTTGTTCTCTGGATTTACTTGTTTTGAGATTTTATTTCCGTTTTTTCTTTTCATTCCGTGCTCTTTAATCCATCGTAGAAAGCTGCGCNAAAAGTAGTCAAGTTCTGTTCTATTGTTCAGAAAACTTTATCTTTGAATAACAAGTATGAGAGATTACCGGAATTGCCAGATGTGGAGTTGCATTTATCACAACCTTTTCTTTCTTCTTTTTCTTTTCCTACTCGCTTCCTCTGGTGACCTCTTCACTAACTAACAGTAAACGCTAAAGCGCAGATCAGGAGTCGTCTTCGACCTAACCTGTGCTTAAAGACGGTTTCTAGCCAGGGGCATAATGTTTTTACTTGAGCCTGGATCTCCGGTGTAGATGAGATGATTACCTTATGCGAAAGCTGTGATTGGGGTGAAAATTAAAAATCCCGTTGACTCGCCCATCCCGAACTCCTACAATCGCTCCATAATAATAAAGGATAAAGTCTTGGGGCGCTAATCAGTCCTGTCAGAGGGATGCGCCCTCGGACAGGACTCCGGAGGGATGGAAGGCTTGCCTGGCCTAGGCAGATATCGATCCGGGATTCGAACCCGTAACCATGCGTATGTGAGGGGTGCCACTTGATACTACACCACTTGTGTATAATATTAGTCGTGAAATTACTCGTTCTAGCCGTAAATTAGACACAACAATTTACCTCATTCCATGTTCAGTTTTGTTTCAATAATTATTTCACTAGTGACTAGTGGTTGAGTGACTGGTAGTTATCCATTCAATAATTGAATCATTTTACTATTATTCTACAGTACTTGTTAATCGCTGCAGATATGCCTAGAGATATGGTGATGTGTTGTTTATAACAACCGGGAGACTGTTAACCTTTTTTCACATCTCAGCTATGTTAAGTAAGGAAATACTACTATATGAAGCGGTAGCTTGGTGGGTTGATTCTATGACTGTCTGCCTGCCTGTCTGTTTTTCTGTTTGTTTGTTTGTTTGTTTGTTTGCCTGCTAAATTTCCCAGACGCAGTTATCGCTAGAAGAATCTCAGAAGCCTAATAAGTTGGATTGATGTGATGCTAGCAATAATGCTTATACAACATCGAACATGACATAGGTACATACCTCATCTTGGCAGTTCCGATCATTTGATAGCGATTTGTGACGTAATTGAACTGGTAATCGGTAAAGCAGGTAATTAATGGATTCTGACACGATACCGATAAATTGTAATGCTCCATACCCCATACCTTCTGCAGCATATACTCCGCTGAGATCTTTGAATTGGAAACATCACCTGATTCTTTATATAATCGTCAGCTAAGGGGACATTAGTCAGTTCGCAACTGATTTCAGGCCGCGTTCCATGTTGAAGGTGGGAAGTGACGTGAATTTGCTGCTCTATTCTATTTAGTTCTGCATTTACAGTTTGAATAATTTACTTGATTACGCCTTACTTATGTGTACTCGTGTCCACGCTACCAAAGTCGCTTTGCATCTGCAGGTGTTTTTGAATGAAATCATGTCTAAAAATGGCATTTCACATTCACAGTTCAGAACCATAGTACTAGTACTAGAAGATCTGTAATGATCAAGTTTTTTTGAGGCCTAGGTTTGGCTTTTTCGGTTGTTTCTTCCTTTTCCATGCAACTTTAAAAACGTTTTCAGGACTGTTTTTAGAAAGCTGGAAAACCATTTTTTTTTCAAGTGTGAAGACCAAAATTTATCTCCTAATCATTCCAAATTACTTTTGCAGCTGATGATTTCTTCGCTTGGGCCAATCCTTTTTATTGATCTGACTAGAATGATTTGGTCACTAGAACTACCAAAGTTGAGAATGTGTGCTGTTGTTGAGATTATGAGCTTAAACAAAACTACTACTGATCTTTTCCACACTCCTTATTGTTAGTGGCATTTATAGTACCGATGTTCACGCCAGCGCTGCCTTTGTACGCTGGCGCTTACGCCGGCCGTCGGTCGCTATTTCGCAGGTCGATGGCTGTTGCTGCATTGAATAGGGTGAAGGGGTGAAATGCGTTTTGTCTCATCTTCTCATACATGAACTGAACACACCTTTTACATCTATAGCTCAGCTACGGCTTTGCTTTTCATAGATTGCATTCGTTGTTCTTTTTTTCAAATCAGTTGTTAGAACTGTTAAAAATATTGAAAGATACGCTATATAATCGGTGATCGTCCAAC